CGAGCATGGCATTTAATCCCAAATAATCTGGTTTCTTCCTGTTTTGTGAAGGTGCTGAATGCATAGGATGAAATATTATATGAGTGTAGATGAGCATACAAGCCAGTGTACTCCATTGTGGAGTCTTTACAGGAAGTTGTTAACATTTTTTAATTGCGTTATTTGAAACAATTCTCTATAATTTTTTCAATCTCAAACATAACTGTAACATTTTGTTACAACATTTTTTCGGCCCCGGCTTCCCGGGCCGTTGGTTCGGGTTTTTCTTGGCTTTTGTTAGTTCCAAAAAAGCTCATTTAATTGCTTTGCACACTGCTGGTTTAATCAGCACAAATATTTCAATGATGAAAATTCATTAAATTCAATTCCTTTCCCAGTTTTAGACTTGTCCCTGCAGGCATCGCTGCTAAAACGAGAGGTGGGCAACTGCTCTCAGCCTGCGGCAAAGTTTATGTGTCAGATTTATACAACACTAAAAATGCAGTTATTTGTAAATCTGACAAACCCAGATTTTATCCGGAGTAAAACATCGAAATCAAATCAAATGACTGTGAAAATCTATCATTGTAAGAAATATTTGAATTTGAATTTTGTATCAGGCAAGAATTGGACACCATTCTTCTCGCAAAAGTCCAGCAGGAGGTCTCCTCAGTTCCCAGACTGTCTTGAATGGTAAACATGGCCGGGCCCCAACTTTATTGAGACATGTTGCTGCCATCAAATTCAAAATGATCTTTTTTTTCCAGTCTAATCATTTGAAATGACTTTTAAGTTCTGCTGTGAATAAAATCTGGGTTCATGAGATTGTCAAATCATTGCATTTGGTTTTTATTGATATTTTACACAACATTACAACATTTTGGAACCAACTTTTCACAGGCCTGTTCACAGGTGCAGCGGTGCTGAAAAACCCACACAGTCTATGAAATGCAGAGACAATAAGTCAGTGTTCGTCCTTTTAAATTGATGTGTTCAGCATTTCATTGTGTGACTGTGTGAATCTATGCTGGAGGATTGATTTCCGTTTAGTTAATGTAATATGTTTGATACTGTATGCTCTCCTGCTGTGTTTCCCTTGTTTAGTATGTAGAATATCAGAGTTGGAGATGGATATTCAGAAATGTTGCCCACCTACTCGGGCAGTATCCAAGCTTATCTATTCTTGATTCTTTGCACAGTACACAGAAGATAAAATAAACATATGTGGACCTATGTTTTTCAACACAGAAAACTGAGGCAACATAAAAACATCACTGATAATGGCACTGGTGTCATCTAAATCTTATTATCTTAGCATCTGAACCTGTAAAAGTTTAGTTCTCGCTAGTCTTTGGAGGGAGGTGATAAAATAATAGGTCGTGAGGAATACAGGACAGCAGAGATCACCTCTAGAAAACAGCACAGTGACGTGAACTCCAGCTGTAATCTAGGCAAATAGACCATCCATTCTCTTTGGGCCTTCGGGCTCTGATCAGCACATAAAGTAAAGAAACACTTTAAGCGTGAGAGTCATTCATGTGTGATGGAAGAGCTAAATTTGCTGCTGCAGCTTTGACTATCAGTTTGCTTTTTTATGTCTAAAATTTTAACAACAGGTTCAGGACTTTAAACAAAACAGTGGATGAAACCTGTCAGAAAACAATTAGTGGTCACTAAATATATTAGAAAGCTTTCCACTAAGGCGTAGGTCACTGCCTCTGTTCTGCCACCATCATGCCTCCTACTTCATGCCATCTGACGTAGAGCTTTATTCAACCACACCCGTAACCTCAACTTCCTCACTAGCATTAGTCAGCAAAGTGCAGTTTCCTGAAGAGTAGTGGTTTGCTGGAGCTAGTCGGCCCCGCCGAGATTTATGGAGCAGCTGTGGGGCTGACTGACACCTGCAGCATCCAGGGATCGGTCTCCCGGCACCAGTGGGAGGCTGTGTTTCTGTCTGTACTTGTGATGTTAGGTTGGGTGAACGTCACGAGGTGTTGGAAAACACAAGTCGATTAATTTCAAGGCAACGAATTGAGGTGTGGGGAAGGCGTTGTTTAGATCACAGCACATCATCTAATTTAAAGTAGGGATATTTCTGATGAATAATTTAGGAGCTTTTTAAAAGAGAATTAGTCTCTTAGTAAGAAAACACTTAAAACTGAGCACAAGCTAATGGACCAGATTAAACACCGGCCATGCTAATATTGCATTTTAGATGAACGTTTT